TATATACACACGCCCCATGTCAAATGTTGGTGAGCATTACTCGGTGAGTTGTTTCGTTAAACAGTGCATGGGTGGGGCATGTCCAGTGGGTGATCAGACAAAATGAGCAACAGCTGGACAATCCTTAGACTGGGGTCTATGAAAGGCCACCCCAAAATGTCAATTTTGTCACAAGTTACAATGCCTCAGATGTCACAAGTTATGCGGGAGTGTGCCATTGGTATGTTGGATGCAGGGATGTCTTAACAGAGCAGTAGCTGCAAGGAATTCCTTCAAACAGAGGACATTGAAGTTCTGGACTGGCCTGTATATTCACCAGACATGTCCCCAATAGAAYATCTTTGGGATGTTGTGGATAGGCGTGTCCGGGACCGTGTTCCAGTTCCAGGCAATGTGGGTCAGCTTCGCGTGGCACTCCAGGAGGAATGGGATAACATTCYACAGGCCACCATTGACAGTCTGGTCAACTCCATGTGAAGAAGATGTGTTGCTCTGAGAGACGCAGCTGATGGACACACAAGATACTGAAAAACCAAATTTCTCAACCTGACCCTTATCTTGTTCAAAGGACTGTCAGTCCGCTGCAAATGGCCAAACCACGATGTTATCAATGCTGATATGAATATCAGTAATTACTGAGAATATATTTTGAGTTTCCCAGTATGTTGCGTAACACAAATGTTCATAACACTCTTGTATTTGACATGGGGCGATTGTGTGTGTGTGCGTGCGTGCGTGCGTGCGTGCGTGTGTGTGTGTGTGTGTGTGTGTGTGTGTGTGTGTGTGTGAGAGACTTTATTAATCAGACTCATACAAGGTGCATAGCAAACAAAACAACAATAAAAGTTAAAAAATATATAAAAAAATAAAAATATTCACCCATTGCCATATAAGTTAAGGCACCAGTGACTCCACAGACAGGAACAGAACCAAACTGAGCTTTGTACAGGGTTGGTCAAAGTATAAATTATGCCATTTACAGATTCTGCTACACATACATTATACATAAGATTCTGAAGTACAGCACCACAAGTTGGTACATGGGCATTTGCAAATATATATACAGTGTTGTATAAAGTACCTCAAAGTCATACTTGAGTAAAAGTACAAGTATCTTATAAAAATACTTTTGTAAAAG